CATACACTAAGGGAGTGCATTTTAGAATTAGAACTTTGGCACCCACTATTCAATTATATATAAGGAGAGATAAATGGGGGGGGGGAACCAATCGAAAATTGATGATCAGAGGGGAAAAATAGACATAAGAACGTGTTTATAGCTTGGTATTCCTGCCAATTTTTCGCATATCTTTCACGTGTCTAAAAGAGTTTCCCTTTTCTTTGAGCACGTCAATATTAAATTTAATTCACAATGCGTCGCCACGTGGTGTCTACGTAGTAAGGAAAGGCTTTCGGGATATAGCCGGTGCACGGATAATGCCCGAGAGTTCCGAAGCCGATCGTAAAGACTCGGGAGAACGAAGCGGAAGACCCAAGATCACGCGGTTTGTCCAAGCAAAGGAAGTGACGCCAGCGGAAAGTTACGATTCTTTCCGGCTAGGGATTTTAAAAAAAGGCATCTCTTCCGGAAAAGGCGTGACCTCCTTTCCCGGGCGTTTCTGGGAGGACTTTCCTCCAAGCATTGTCCCCGCGAGAGAGACTCTCGAGCCTATTCGCAAGCCCCCTTCCGGAGATAGCCGAGCGTCTTCGTGGACGCGCCGAAGCCGCCTCCGGAAGCTGCCGAACTCCGGGGAAGGCGCCGCCGCGGCCTAGTGTGCGCGAGAGGAGAAGGAGCTCGGGGTGAAGCAATAGAAGCAGGAGCCGCCGTAGCAGCGAGGCCGGGCCTGGGCCGCCGTCCTCCTCCCCTCCCCACTATTCCCGCCACCATGTCCGACTTCGACGAGTTCGAGCGGCAGCTCAACGAAAACAAACAGGGTGAGCCCGCTATGGGGAGGGGAGAAGGAGGCCTAACTGCGCTCCGACATTGACGGCGCGGCGCCCGGAACACGCTCTGACGCGCGGCCGCCGCGTGGGGGGTGGCGGCGGCGGCGGCGTTAACTGACTGGCTCCTCTCTAGCTGCCTTTCTCTCGCTCTATTTCTTCTGTTTCCATCCCCCACCCGCGCTGCTTAATTTGGCGGGAGTCTGAAAAGGGAGGGGGGGGACCCGCGCCCTTCGGAGGGGTGGGGGTCGCTGGCCGCGTGAGGCCTCTCGTGGAAGGAGCCCTAAGAGGCCCCCTGAGGCGGATTCTTTCCCCTCGTCCTCCCGAAAGAGGCTTCAAGGAGACGGTCCCAGTCGCCTTTTGGGGGGAGAAGGGGGTGTTTATATTTTCTTTCCCCCCATCCTGGTTTATAGAGGGTCCCCCCCTTTGTCTGTTCTTATGTATGTAAAGACCAGTGTTCCCTCTAAGCTGAGTGAGTGTGAGCTAGCTCACATTTTTTTAGCCTCCAGCTCACATTTTTTTTGTCTTAGCTCAGGAAGGAGGGCTCCAGAGCAAGGTTCCCTCTAAGCTGTGGAGTCTTGTGAGCAAAAATTATAGTTTGTGAGCTACCGGCATTAAAGTTGTGAGCAGGTAATCTGGCTACTGAATACATTCGTTTGCACTGGAGCCCTCCTTCCTGA